ATATATATATATATATATATATATATATATATATATATATATGCATATATCCACATAATAATCCCATGTATACATGTATTCATATGATCAATTATAGCAATTAATCATATATTCATGTAACCACATAAACAAGTAATGACATAACAATTATCTCAAGTATATAATCAAGACCCGGTTATCATAGTCCTTGACATAATTGACGAAGTCAAGTAGTCCATACCTTTGGATTATGGAGCTTTTACAATTAAATAACAATTTCTTCAAAATAGACACGTATAACAATAAAAAAATAAAGGAGGCATAAGAGGTGGTGACACAAAAAAGCCTATGGAGGGTAAAAACTGCGGATGACAATAAGGTTGCCAATCAGTGACGTCGTCCTTAATAATAATAAATGCTATTACAAGGCGTGGAAAACAAAGTAAACACAAGTAAACTGATGTTGTAGAAGCGATCATTGTAAGGGTGGTCAAAAGTGCTTATGAGTAATTCTTATTGTGGCTTGTATTTCATGTGTCCTTTGTGATTGAATACGGCTTTGGTTTATATACAAGCACGTTGAAACTGTTGTTTTAATGTCTTTTAAATGATGATAACGGCTAGATCATTAATGTGTCTAGAATTTAAGTCTGCAATTATGATGTGCGTCATTAAAATGGTTGAATTTGATCTTTACTCCTGTCATAAAGAATAAACATAATGGATGTCATGGTTAGCATAAAATAACGGATGTCGTAAGTAAAATGCGTTGTGGATAATCACAACCATAGGTCAAGGACCCCGTGGTTGTTGATACTCTGATCATAGATATCTTGGTCGTAGAAGTTATCCTCGACGATCAAGATTAGGGAATTTGCATCAAAATAATGGTGTTGATCAAAACAGGTGGAGAAGGAGATCTAGGTAGGGCAGCAGCTTGGAGTCATGACTAGTGGAACAATTTGGTGGAGAAAAAAAAGCCCTAAATGTGTAGGCTCGATACCATGTTAACGTGAGAAAAACCATTAAGGAATCACTAATAGAATAAAGGATTAAATGTATGAAATAGCAACTTATTTTTATAATTTTTTTTATTATAACATTCTACTTTTGTTTTTCTTTATTACTGTAATGTACTTTCAAATTATTTTTTATTAAGACATCGTACTTTAGATAATCTATCCATAATAGCAATGGATAACTTGTTACCTTTTAAACCGGTTAACACTTTGACTTTTTTTGCTTGTGTGGTTTTAATGAGGTGATGTGGAAGATACATCATTTTGATAACTTAACTAAAATAAAAATAAAAACCTATTTCAAATTATTATTAGTGAGTTTCATTTTTCATGGTTATGATCTAAAAAAATATTTAATTTAAGTTGCATGCAAATTAAATATTCTTAGAAAAATATTTATTAAATGAATATGAAACATTGTTTTCGAGATATATTTTGTTTGTAAAAAATGTATTTTTTCTTATTTTATGTTGTTCAAATAAATACATATTTTTTAAAATTCTCTTTAAAATGTTAACGAAATAAATTGTAATATACTATTTTTTAATATTGTTAAAATAAATACATATTTTTTAAAATTCTCTTTAAAATGTTAACGAAATAAATTGTTATCTACTATTTTTTAATATTGTTATATTAATAAATACTTCAAAAAAATCTAATTAATTTAATATATTTATATGTCAA